TCAGTGATTATTCTAATTCAGGGAAAGCAGGTTAGTTCTGTTTCTCTCTTTTTGCTTTCTGTTCTTCTGCCTATTTCTCTTCTAATCTCTCCCATTCTTCTTATAGGTAAGTAAAAATAACCAAGCAATTTTAATTATTAGATAGTTTCCCTTCTATTAAAAGTATTATGACTGAAACAAAGATGATCTCTGGTTCATCTATTTTGCTCAATGCTAAAAATTCTCCCTATCTTTTCCAAGTTTGTTATGCAGGTTAACTGCCAGTGACCTAGCACAATTACTCTATAACATAACCCTAATGTCTCTGAAAGTGTGGATGGCAAGTGTAAAAAAAGCTATAAAGCAGTACACCCTTGAAGCAGCTAGAGACTCAACAAAGAAGGCAATGAAAAGATGTAGGGAAAGAAGGTGCATCCAATAATACATTCTGAATTTTTTCATGTATGAATATACCTACTCTTGCCTGTGTCTAATATTTGTTTGACTTGTTGCTTTCCACCTTCAATATTTTTTTTCAGAAAAGTGTTTAACCCAATGTCCTTATATATTCTGTGGCTAGCTGAAGTCCAGAGTGTCATAAGAAGTATCTTTCCCTTCTATAGCTCCAAGGATTCCTGGAACTTGTAAGAAAAAATCTAGACATCCCTAAACCTCATTTTAGACTAACAGTAGTACATGCAGGCACATAGTAGGTTGCCTATAAAGTGAGGTCTGTTGAAAAGTTATAACAGCAACCAAAGTTGATTTCCTAGGTAACCAACTGAAATGCATACATCAGTTGATTGGGGGGACTGTGAGAATGCAGAAACTATTGGGCACATGCACTTACATGCCCAGAATTACAAACCAGGATGTAGCAATAAATTATATGAATGTATATATTTATTATACTTTGCCACATGCACCATCTAAGAGCCTGCTGTGTTGAAAGAGTGAATAAAATAAAGCTGAAGACTTAATAGTAAAAAAGCATTTAATAAAAGTTTGCTTAACTGTCCATGAGCTACATAAGTTGAGTATTACTAAGATTCTGGCTGCAAGTAATTGATCTTTTCTGCCCACAATTTTAAAAAGTGACTCCATTGCTGTCTCAGCTACACTTCACTTGGAAAGCTATTGACTTTTCCTTTCTGTTGCCTTAATTTTCTTCTGCAAGAGCACAGAGGGATTCAAGTCCAGGTGGGCACTGTGCCTTTGACTGATTGTGCTGTGTAACACAGCAGGGAAACCTCTTATCTCAGGCTGGGGTTGCCTGTTTAAGAAATTTCTTTCTTTATAAAAGGTATAAGGTAGTAAATACAGCTGTAGAAAAGGTTTTGTATTTTCTTGCCATTTGTTTTAAGCTATTAAAATGATATAATTAAGGCAGAGTGCAAAGATGCCTATAAAATTATACTATCTGCCTTTGTGCATGTATGTTGTGGGCCAGGTTTTACCCAGTTCACAGTGTTTGAATAACCTAAATGGATTTGACTTTAGAATTGGTTTTCTACATCTTTGCATGCAGTGTTGTCAGATTGTAAATTACAGTGGCTTAGGATCAATGAACTTTAAAATTCTAAATTGATCTTGGAATTAGGATGTTACTTAAGATGACTTAAGCTTCACTCATGATATTTCCTTGCCAGAGCTGGATCATTGCTCTGAATTCCTGTCTGCCAATTACTTTTCTTTTAACTCCATAAGGGGTATTTTTTAATTGGAATATTTATATATCTTTAAGAAGAATAAAGGTTTTGTAAATAGTATCACAGCCAAATCTTCCTTTCAAGAAGATGAAATCTGAGTTTAGGATGGAGAATATGACTCAATTTCAATTTGCAAAGACATATAATAATATAATCCCATTTACTTCCTACTTAGATGAACTTGAAGTGTTTTCAGCTGTGGTATATTAAATTCGCCTCATAGAGAATAGATTTGAGTGGATACTTAAGGCCTTTTCCTAGCTAGTTATGTTTAAGTTAAATGAATAAACATATTTTAATGTCTTAATTACAAAAACAAAACGTGTAGAAGTCTATGATCTGCCCTATCATTTGGAAATAAACTGAAAAATCCTATTAGGTTGGAATTAAGTGGAAAATAGTTTTCCCCTCTGGGGATTTTTAATTTATTCAGAATATTTATATAATTGCCTACTAGTGAATCCTTTGAGATTACTTTGTTGGAGATGCTCCTTAACTCCAAACACATTTTTCTGGAGGGCAAGGGGATATTATAATTAATTTCAGCATGGGAGGAAGTCTTCTTTCTTATCATTTATTCTTTTCATCACCTCCTCACACCCCTTTCTCATCTTCTTCCTCCCTAGATGAGCTCATTTTCAATTCATACGGACTTTGAAGCATTTTGGCTTGGGCCTGGTTAGTTCAGCCTCATAAGGGGATGGGAAGAACTTTGAACATAGATGGGAAATTAAACAGTTTAGCTATCTTAGAAGATGAGCCGCCTCCAAATGTCAATTCCAAGTCAGGGTGCCAGGTTCTCTGTTGGGAGACAAAAGCCATTCCGCTGCACTGCCAAAAACCAACGACTGACAGCTTGTTGTAGTTTTGAAAGCCTTCACTACTTATGCAACCCTCATTCCTGTTTTTTTAATCTCACCTGAATTCATGGAAATATGTCTTTTCTATACAAACATCATATTGAATATTTCAGGGCTGTTACCTTAAGTTATTAAATGGTCTCAGTGCCCTAGCTCAAAGATAACTGCAGCTCCATTGTGAATAAAATGATTACCTTCACAAAATGTATGATTTAACCAGCTTTGTTTGGGATAAAAAGTGCTTTATGGACCATGATCAATAAAGACATAATAACAGTGAACTGCCCTAAGAGCATTTTTCAGTGGACAGATTTTAAAAAGTAATGGATATAGCATTGCAAATAAAAAGAAACCTCAGCCCAAGAACAGGACTTTTGAAAGACAGGTATTCTACTGATAGAAATTCTAAAGTCAGAAAGGATTGTTTATATCAGGTGTGCATAAAGTGCTACATCATATTACAGGGTCTTATATCTACCAGAATTGTGTGCATCCAATTGTGTACAATGAATGTTTTAAATAAATGAAATTTTCTATACTGAAAAGATCTTACGTTCATAAATTAAATATTGTCAAGTACATTGAATTGTCTGAACCTCAAGCCCAAAGGAAATGGGTTCTACTTACGGCACACCTAGGAGTAAATAGATTCCCAGATAGGCTAAAAAGGGGAAACTGAGTTCATGCTGCTATCAAAATTATCTGTCTTCCCTTCCATCACAGTCTCCCTACACACTCACAGTGGCACTATCTTTCCAGTCCATAGTAGGTAATGACCAGAAGTCTCCAGAGCACCTCATCTAGCCAGAGGAGGGCCTGCTTCCTCAGAACTGTCTTGGGAAAAAAGGGTCATCATCGATGTCTTCTGGTCACCCCAGGTGGGGAGACTGAACAGAAGGCTACACCTAGGAATCTGGAGGAAATGAGGGAGGTGGCCCCACGCTGAGACCCAGAAAAAGGTGAGCTGACAGGAAGGGAGAGCAATAGTATGAATGTGCAAGGAGCAAAGGAAAGGAAGGAAAGGGCATGAGAGTGGAAAGATCTATTGGAAGCAGAGAGAGCGAAAGCCACCTGGTAGTGGACTGGAACAGGGAGGACCTGCCGGCGTTGTCCGGCCAGTGACTGAGCTTGGGAAGTTTGCCGTCTGCGCGCTGTTCCTCGAGGACACTGGGTGGCGCTCGTGGTAAAGGCTTGCACTTCTCCTTAGGGTTTCCCACCCCACACTCCCACCCCAACCCCTTTGCAGATTTCGGCTACTATGAGATGAAATTACTCACATTCTTCCTACGTGTCTCAGTGGGGAGGGCACTGCTGAAAGAGTTTGACGCCGTAGGGCCACGTCTCCACGGCTGAGTCTGTCGGTGGGTTTTGAGAGACAACAGCGTCCGGCCCGCTGGCTTTAGGACAAAGCTCGAGGCCTTGGTGTCAGGACTACCTCACAGCCCCAGCAAAAGTTGTTGCCCCAGAGCACCGATGCCCGGCGCGCGTGTGCCTTGAGCATGGGTCGGAAGCCGCAGCCAGGCCCGCAGCGGAGCCCGCCGTGCACAGAGCCGCAAGGACTACATTGTGCAATGAAATGAAACTGTGCTGCGCACAGACCCCGGCTGCTTTCAACTCAGCGCTCCCGTTCCCTCTCCGCTGCCTTTAAGGGAAGGGTGTGGGAGGGGAGAGGGGTCAACCCAGAAAAGCTGAACAAAGTCAAGAAAGTTTTGAGGCTCTGGACCTTCGGGGACACGCCAAGATTTGGCCTCACCCAGAGGCCGATTTTGCACTCGTGGCTCAAGTCTGCGCGAGGGCCAACGTCATAACACTTTAGAAATTGAAACAAAGAAGTTACATTCTTCACTCCCGCCCCACTTCTTTCTGCCTTTTATAAAATGTGGGAGACAATGTCTGTTTTGACCTCGGGGTGTACGTGTGGGGCGGGGGAATGAAATTTAGCAAGGTCTAGAGCTAACTTAACATGGTAACGTTATGTTCAACCGGATCCCGAACTTCTAAATATTACCCAAATCCAGAAGCTTCCAGTCCCATCCTGGTTGGAATCTACCTTCTCAGCAAGCTGTAAAAGGTATCGCTAGCCCTGTTTAGCATAACGGCGTTGACTTTATTTCCCTCCACATTGCAACTCTTAAGTCTCTATTAAACCAAAAGGGTCGAGGATAGGGGACCAGAGGAAGGGCGGCCTGGCTCCCTGACCACTGGCCCTTGCTGGGGGGCGCTTCGCACTGTCCCTTGCTTTGATTTGAGGAAGCCATTCACGTAATTAATGGCAGGATAGGTGTCATGTGACTCAATAGGTACCGGAGAACTTCTGAGCAGAAACCAGGACCACAGCTCCACGGGGTCAGCAGTGTTTCCCCCGCCGCTTCGTAGGTCCTCACAACCTAAATCCAGACGGTGAAATGGACAGCGAGCGGGTCAGGGCCGGCGGGCGGCTGCGGCCGTTTACCTCAGGTCTATCTGGGAGGAGAAGTCCAGGACAGCTCAGGCCCCAAGCAGGCGACTCGGCCCAGGGAGAGAAGGATGGTCTGGGACACCGGCTTCCCTGTGCGCGCCCAGCGCTGAAGTCTCCCCCAAAGGAAGGGCGACAATAGCTGCGGTTTTATGGCGACCAGACGGCAGAGGCAGAGAGTTGGTGCCCGTTAGCCGCCGAGAGTTCCGGAGCCCGGCTGGCATCACGTTCCAGACACCCCAGCTCTCCCTGCCTTGTTTTGGGCCAAGTAGCTGCACAGCCAATATAAGGCTAAACCAACACTAGACACAACTAATGCAGAGGCTTTCTTCTTGGGTTGAGGGAAGAAAGGGAGGGAGGCCAGATAGTTCCACCCTGGATATCCGATGGAGCTCCCGAGTTCTCTTGGACCCCCCCCCCAGGAGAAGATGCTGGAAGGCTCCAAATCAGGATCCAGCTCCCGGATTCGCCTGTTTGAGGAGAGTGGAAATAGGGAGCGGGAGAGACTCATGTTAAATTTCTAAGGTCCTAGCTGGATCACCAGTAGCACATCATGAAAAAGCAAACTTTAAACCGTGTATACCTAGAGTAAGATTCTTGACTCTTTTCTCCCTTTGCATGTGAGCTAAGACGTTTACCCCGCAGGAAATAAAGAGGAGAGGGTACAGGAACCCGGGCCTGGGGAATGGAGGGGCTGGGCCTTGGGTTCCACATCCTTGGAGTCAGAAGGGGAAAATCAGTGGGCATCATCCGCCTTCCCAGAAAGGCTTTGATCCTTGTCTCCTTTCTCATCTAGGCATTCCCATTTGTCGCTGGAGGCATGACAGATCATAGGAGGATCAGTTCACTTTTGCAGGAGTCTTTGGCCACTGAACACACTAACAGACCCTATTCCAATGGGTTCCAAATAGATGGGAATAAGTAGGACTGCTGGCTCTTCATGGTAGCCAGAAATGATGATTTAGGTGTCATTCAGTTATTTGTGCTTAAGACAGTGATATTTTAAAGTGATTGTTTTAGGTGCAAGAATTCTCTCTGTCATTAACCGCTGAATGGGCAGTGTGCATTCTTGGGCATCCCTAACCAGCCCATGTCTGAGAGATACTCATCTTCTGCAAAGGAAGTTGTCTTTTTTTCCCAAGTCACAAATTTTCAACACATGTAAGTTATAAGTGCTTCCCAACACTCCACTAAAAAAATACTGTTCTCTGTTCCTTTTTGCCTTCACCCTACATCCCCCGTGACTCCCCATGTCATTATCAGTGTTCATTTCTACAGGCGTCCTTGGTGTGGCCCATGGGGGCGGGGAGATGGGGAGCAAGGAAAAACAGTCACCGACCTCATCCCCGAACATGCACTTTTGAGGCTGCTGATTGGAACACATTGTCTCCAGACATCACAGAGCTGGGTGCTGGGGCTTCTGCGTTCTCTTTGGCATTCACTAAAAACAGATTGACTGAGACCCCCCCTCCCCCTACAAGCAAAAACACACATACACACGCGCGCGCGCGCGCGCGCACACACACACACACACACACACACAAACACACTCCCCCCACTCCATTTCCCCTCCCCCCCCTTTTTTAAGCAATGCTTTGTTGTGCTAAAACTAGTTGGACGAGTTAGGGTGTTGCTGCTGCTCCCGAGGCCCTGGCCAATGGAACCCGATCCACCCCGCTGTGCGTAAGCGCGCAATTAAGGATTTAACCAAGGCTGTGCTGCGCCTCAGCCAGCAGTCAGCCGGCCGGAGACAGAGACTCCACGACTCCCAGCCTCCTCCTCGCCGCGGCTACCGCCTCCTCCTCTCCTCCTCCTCTTCCTCCTCCTCCCTCGCTCCCACAGCCATGTCTGCTTAGACCAGAGCAGCCCCACAGCCAACTCAGGCAGCTGCCGCCGCCACAGCAGCAAGCACAGCCGCTGCCGCCGCCGCCAGTGAGCGATGACAGGAGTGTTTGACAGAAGGGTCCCCAGCATCCGATCCGGCGACTTCCAAGCTCCGTTCCAGACGTCCGCAGCCATGCACCATCCGTCTCAGGAATCGCCAACTTTGCCTGAGTCCTCAGCCACCGATTCCGACTACTACAGTCCCACGGGGGGTGCCCCGCACGGCTACTGCTCTCCTACCTCGGCTTCCTACGGCAAAGCGCTCAACCCCTACCAGTATCAGTACCACGGCGTGAACGGCTCCGCCGGGAGCTACCCAGCCAAAGCTTACGCCGACTACAGCTACGCTAGCTCCTACCACCAGTACGGCGGCGCCTACAACCGCGTCCCGAGCGCCACCAGCCAGCCAGGTACTCGGGCGAGGGGCGGAAGGCATATGCAAGGGGTCCCGGACTCGAGGGTGCGAGATCGGGTGGTAGATTGGGGACCACGCTGTCCACTGCAGTGGGGGCGCACCGGGCAGAAGGCAGTGGGGGCCCGGATCCTGCAACCTAGAGAGGTTTTCGGGCCAGAATTTTAGAAATTCTTAGTGGAAGAACCCTGCAGGGGTTCGAACTAGCGTCTCTCTCCTCAGGCACCTTCTAGAGCCCCTCAGTCGCTGGATTCCCAGATTTCCTAGCCAGGAAGCCAGCTAGGCTGCAAAGAGGGTAGGGGTGGAGAGAAGAATGAATCAAGCAGCCCCAGTGGCGTTTGCGTAATAAAGGAGGTTAGTTGTTGGACATTTCGGTAAGCGTGCTGGATTGGTGCGAGTGGGAGTGAAAGCCTGCCTCAAAGACTCAGTCGAGACTGGTCTGGGAGCCGCCTCGAACTAGCCTGGTGCTGGTGCCCCGGGCGCGCCAGGTAGGGATGGGGGTTTGGGGAGCTGTAGCCCCGCCGGAGAAGAGCGCGCGGAGAGCTTTGCGGTTTATCCAAGGCATTTCCAAAAACAAAAAGCCATTTAAAGGTGGAGGAGGGTTGCCGAGGGGTCACGTTGTAGGAGGGATTTTTTTTTCCTCCTCTCTCCATAGGTGCCTAAAATTTGTCTTTCCCCTTCTCCCCATCTCCTCCTTTTTAGTTCATCTTGAAACTTAGAGAGTTTAAGAGGGTTAGTGAGCTTTGGCGGTATAAGAAAGGAATGAAGTCTCCATGGAGAGGTTTTACTGGTTAGGTTTGATCTCATCCCACCAGCACATTAATAATCCTGCTAATATTAGCATCCCCTACTCTGGCAGACCACAGCACTCATCCCCCACCCTTCCTCTCCCAGGAGCTTGACACACACACACACAGACACACACACGCAGGGACACCCAGGAGAAGTTCTCTACTCGGTCTGAAATGTGGTACTTTTTGGGGAAGGGGACTTGTGGCCCCAGGGCACGTTTGTAAAACACGCCTTTAGAAAGTCTCCACCCCATCCACCCACCCTAGTGCTCAAGACAGTGAGAAATTGGTCCTGACTTGCCGCCCCTTTCCTACGAAAACACCCCCTCCACCGATTCCTTTTCAATGTGTGCCTCTTGCTGAACTTTAAAAAAGAGCCCGGGGGTGGGGTGTATTCGTTACTTTCACTGTCTCCGCATTTCGTGCATAAGTGGAAGATTTTTTTTTTTTTTGGGCCAAGAACATATTAAGTCTATTTGCAAAAGAAACCAGACACATCTGTGCCCTCGCAGATCTGCAGTGAGATTATGGGGGCTGCATAATCGGCTCTCTGTCTGCGGCGGCCCCGACCGCTTGCTGCAGAAGTGAAGGAGCACAGTTTGCTTGTGGGTCTTTGAACTTTAGAGACCTCGGTTAGCGTCTTCCCTGCCCATGCGTCTGGTCTCTGCGGGCGCCCGAACAGACGCCGACAGAAACGAGGTCACGGCCTGCCGCCCCCTACCCTGGAATCCCCGAGGGGGGGGGGGCTGTTCTCATCCCAGAAACGCAGGAGAGCGCAGGGTGGGCATAAAAGCAAATGTTGGGTAGGTAGGAATCACCGCAAGGGCTGAATCCCGGAAGCCGAGAAGGAAGCTGTGCTGTACAAAGCGTGTTACACAAATGTATCTGAATGAACAGAGTAGGATTTCAGAGACCACCCCGTTTTCCCATGATTTAAGGGAGGGACATATTTCTCTGGGTCTTGAAAAGCAAAGGTGATAATATGGAGAGAGAGTGAAGATCGGCATGGTAAGAAACTCAAGGACTATATTTGAGGCCGTTCTGCAAAAAGGCCATTGTCTGGGAACAAGCTCTAACCGAGTCTGTTTTGATTATTTAGAGAAAGAAGTGGCCGAGCCCGAGGTGAGGATGGTGAATGGCAAACCAAAGAAAGTTCGTAAACCCAGGACTATTTATTCCAGCTTTCAGCTGGCCGCATTACAGAGAAGGTTTCAGAAGACTCAGTACCTCGCCCTGCCTGAACGCGCCGAGCTGGCCGCCTCGCTGGGACTGACACAAACGCAGGTAAGTCGGGCCGCGGTGGCGCACGGGGCCCGCCTAGGCGGCAGGCCTGGCTGGGCCGCGCAGTGTGGCCCCGACGCGCTGGAGCCGATTCGTTAATACCCGGGAGAAACTAACAGACAGAAAGACACCAGCCCCTGCGCCTTCCAGGAGTCAGGCCTTGTGTCGCCGTCATGTGACGGCGGACATGGGATGCACCGTTTGTCTGGAGAGGTGCCCGCATCGGCCTCCGGGGGCGGGATGCCCATATCTTAGGTTGGAAACAAGGGCGGGGGGCGGGGGCATTTCTATGACCGTGTCGCCTCCAAGCTTATCTGTTTCTCTTCACAATGTGGAGCCTCCCTGGGGTGAACAGGGCCTGGTGGCGTCGCGGTGGTCTCAGGCCAGCAATGGCTGAGAAGGTCGCTTTGAGCGGGAGAAACCGAAGGGTCCAGCTCTGGGCCTGCGGGAGTTTCAGGCCTCAGCAGCCTGAGGGTCGCGAGGTGGGGGGCGCTGTTGTACGGGGCAATCTTCCTGGATTGTCGGTTCCCTTCGCTCCTCTAACGCAGCCGGGGCCTGTGGTAGCTAGCGTACGCCCGCATCTGCAGGCGGATTCCGGCCTGACAGAGGAGAAGGAAGCAGTGAGCCTAGCCGGGCGGGAGGTTGAGGATCGCTCCTTTCCCTCCACACGTGCGCGCGTAGCGACCCCCGCCCCTTCCCCGCCAGGCTCCCGCCATTGTTTCGGAGACCCTCGTGGCGCCGCGTTCCGAGCCCAGCGCAGGCCTACACGTGCGCGCACGCCGCCGGGGACACTCGGGCGCACCCCCGCCGCGCTCGCGCCCCCTCCCCCAGCCCGAACAAAAGACA